AATATCATAGAAAAAAGTCTTGTCACCTTGTAATAAATTATGGTCTTTTTTCATGGATATCTCAGAACATACGTATTAAATTATTCAATTACTGTTCAAACTTTGTGAAGGAATATTATAGCATCATTCTATATGGGCCGCAGTGTTAATAAATTATTACTCAACCTGAGTACTGTATTATTTATGAACCAATCACACATGATTTTCAAGAGTTTGATTGTCACAATGTCATGGTTGATCTATACATGAAATAATATAGGACACTGTTAAATGCGTAGCCTGTCTTATATAAAGCCTACCTTTGGATATCATCCAGAATTTGTTTTATGGTTTTCCACTCATTAAAAATTTATATGTCAGAGGTTTGTACTATTATATACAGGAAAGGTGTCTGCTCATATCAACTTATATAGATGATGAGGGGCCAGGATGTGGTCAAATTGGTCTATGTTTGAAGATTGAATATCAAAGGGTGTTTGTTAATATATGTGGTTTTTGATGGTGGGAAACATTAAATCATTTGTTGAAAATATTGAGCATGTAGGCAGAGTTACTGTAATCCAGAATCCTCTAAATTGTAGTAGATGTTTATTCTGTTCTCTTTACTGGTATTTAAGGTAAAAAAACTTGATGTTTTGATCAGTGTTAATGGTACATGTTTTTGAATTGTAGAAAAATTTTGGTTCTTATAGCTGTAAACCTTGATATTAGAAATTCTTTTAAAAATCATCTTAAGATACAATTATGCATGATACTAAGGTTCAGTTCAAATATGTATTTAGTTTTTCAGCCCTTATATAAGTAAGTATCCATGGTGTTCTATTAAATGACCATATTTAGATGTTAATTAAAGGGTATGTGATTAAGCGTCTGAAACCTATATGCTGAAATCCTCCCATTACGTATCTATAGGTAATTTATTATGTAAGGTAATAGGATTTTCAGAACTTCACGTTGGTGCACATGTGAGAAAGACATAACATGAGAATAACTTTTAGTTCTGATTGATATAGTTTACTGAATTAGTTTATATCTGATTGACTTGATACATGTTTATTTCGCCAGTGTGACGTCAGGGCTCTTCCATTTTCCGACATTAGGATTGTTGTTAAACTCTGGACTGACCAAAGTTCAAATATGAAAAGGCTCATCATATCAAATGCTTGAGGTGAATTTAACATACTGAAGATAAGCTATTGTTATTGCTATAATGTCTTCTCTTTGAAAAACATGTCTTCCTAAACCACCAGATTTATAATATCAAAACTGTCGAAGATGATCCTTAGGTGATCTTCTTTTAAAGTTGTTCCATGCAGAACTCTGGTAACCATGGCAACCAATAGAAATATCTTTAAAAGTCATCTGTTCTGAAACTATAAAGGCTGGAGCTTAGATGCATGATTGACATGAAACATGTAGTGGACCTCTACCAAGCTTGTTCAAATAAAAGCCAAGCGGGCAAAATTGGCCCTGTCCAAGGGGGGTTATTGGTTTCCCTTATATGTCATTTTTTATGTTAAGAAACATCTTATTAAGGCTAGAGCTAAGATATTTGGAATGAAACAAAGGAAATTCAAGGTAAATTTATCTTGTCCATTTAGACCCTATCCCCTCATATGCAAATAAGGGCCATGATGGGACATCATGGACCTCTTGTTTAATGATTGTAGATAGTAAATACATTGACCGTGACCCATTTTCTGTATGACTATGACCTTAAAGGTCAGATTCTCTAAATAAAGAAAGGTCATGTTTTTGCTAGGAAACATTCAAAAACAGAAAAATGTGTTTCATAATGACATCATAATGACATCATGTCTATCTGACATCAAAATAGGTTCTCTGTTATTTCCTTAAATTAAATAATGGAATTAGATATTTCTAAATGGTATACATACTTAAAAACAATGTTTAACATCAAAAGGAATATATTTTTAGTGACATTTATTGATTCTTTCAGTAGCTAGTCTAGATAAAAAAAGATAACATCAAGGAACTTCAGATATTATTTATCAATTAAGGAGCACTGTGACAGATTTTTGGCTCACTTTAAAAGGTATTGATCGATTGACATGAGTGTTTTTGGATTTCTTCCTGTTTTAAAAAGTGATTAGAAACTTGTATTTACTGCTATTTACATATGTGAAATATATTTTCACATTTAAAAATTCACTTGAGGTAAGATACAAGAAGTACTTTCCATTTCTAGAAGCTATACTGATATTTTATTGAAATCCATTTAATTGGTAATTTGTTTGTATATAAAACAAATACTTCAGGACATTGTAATTTCTGTACTTATTGCACCTCATGCTGCTTTTGTGTTTCCTATGATATTGTGACTATAAAATTTATTGAATACCATCTTTTATTCATGTGTTAAATGTGAGTGTAGACAGAGGAACATAGTGTAATTTTTTATGAATTATAACATTCAGGTCTTGTATGTCTATCTGTCTGTTTGTCTGTCTGTCTGATAAATGTTTAATTGTATTAGAGCTGTCATTGATTCATAACAAAGCATATTGACAATACATCGATATCAAATGACAAATAATGATCATTTACGATAAACCGATATATCGATATATACATGTATATATATATATCCATGTACTCCTAATTTCTTGTATATATTTCACTTTCATACCTGTTTAAATGATTTTAGTAAAATATATGTTTTGTTCATACAAATATGTTGTGTCCTGTTTATAAATGTCCTTTGCATGATTTTTATCTAATCATTTTTAGTCATCACTGCTATGAAATGTGTTCATAATGTAACAACAGCTTAGTGTCAGACATGGCCACCTGCTTTTGTATATGTTTTGGGTGAATTTTCATAATTTATAGACATTAAAATAATTAATCAAAATTATCGATTTTTCAAAATGTGTATCGATTATTGATCAACAGAAAAAGATCAACGATACATTGATATCGTCTCTATCGACGACAGCACTAAATTGTATGAAGATCGTGTCTTAAATGAGTTTATAATTAGCATATGAAGTTTGTTAGTACATATATTTGTATAACAGAAGAGTTATGGCCCCTGATTGAACAAGAATAAGGATATTACTTTAAGTTCTAGATTTGTATAAGTTATTATAATGCATAATTAATTAGAATTTAATGTATATGATTTAAAGGGTTTATTAAAGTTTGTTGTCCTCTTTGGAGTTCATTGTCTGATATCACATCTTTAGTATCAATTATCTAACATGTTTGTGTTTATATACATTGTATATAGAAAGCAGTTTGTAACAGTTATAGAAACAGGTAAATCAAACACAGCTTATCCATTTTTGTTGATAAAAAAAGTGTTATATTGAAAAAGAATATTAATGTTGTATGTAAAAAAAAATTATAACCTTTACTGCACAAGATGTGCCTCACCACTGTTGGTTCGAATCCCCACAAGGACTTCAGTGCATTCCTTCATGTGAGGAAGCTTTCTAGCTAGCTTATTATGAGAGCGTCAATAATTGTTCTACTCCGGTGCCCATTTGTGCTCCTCTTAACTATGTAGATACTAAAAGATACATAAGATTTTAAATCTTAGGATATAATTAAAAGGTATTTTTAAATTCTCTTCAACTTAATAAAGTAATGCAATTGTTTTGTTCACAATACCTTGTTTAAACAGTATTGTAATTTGTCTTAGAATACTCAATCTCCTAATATTTTATAATTATAGTAGTTTCATGTTTTCCTGCTATGTATTGATTTCAGAGCAATTTTTATAAGGCTTTCCATATTTATGAGATATCATTACATGTTGTTGTTAAGGAAACAATGTACTGATATTTTAATTGTTATGAAAACATGGTAAAATCTCATTCCCTTGTAGTACATTCTATTGTAACTGTCATGGTTGCATATATTTTACAAAATCAGAGATGTTGTTAGTTTGAATCCAACATTTGAGGGTGTAGTCTGAGGCTGCATGTACAAATAACTGACTTGACTTAACCCTTTCACTGCCATAGGGACGGCATATGCTGTCAGACCAGTTATTACAGAACATTTTTGCCATTTGGTGTACAGGTTGGTTATAGCTAATAGATAGCCTCTCATGATTTTGAGTTCACTTGGTCTAAACCCAAGGTCACTGTGGCCATTTTGACCACTAAAAGCTTTTGTGAGAACAATTTGGCAAACAGTTGTCAGATTGATGTTGATATTTGTGATTTCTTAGTGATTACCTGTGTTGATTTTTGAGATCAGTCTGTCAAAGGTCAAGGTAAATCTGCTCTTGACCATCAAAAGCTTTAACAAGAGAATTCTAGATGACCCTAGTTAATTTTTAGGTCTGTTGGTCAAAGGTCATGAAGACCTTAACCAAAAATATCTTGTTATTTAAAGATTCGTTTTGATTATAGCATTAAGAAGTTCTTTGCGTTATAATATATAAGAATAACTTGTGCCAAAAGTCACCAGTGTATTGCAATGAGGACAGAATATAAAGGTCACTCTAAAAAGTTTACATTGAAGAATAACCTGTAACATGGCAAATTGATTTCCATTTTAAGGACTTTTATACATTTTTTATAAACATCTCTTTGTTGCTAATGTATTACTGATGTCATCATTTTACCTTACATCTTTGTTGTTAACCTAAAAAAGCTTTAAGCCCTTTACAATGTATATAATGTATATAATTAGATGATTTAGCTACTTTTTCTTTGTAACCACTATTGACCATGTTGTTGTAGGTAAGGCAGATGTAGTAATGATGCGTAAATTGTCACATGATAAAGGTGTTATCTATATTTAATAGTCTGTATAATACTTATATATATAATGGTGGACTGATATTGGAAACATACCTCGGTGTTTTATTAATGAGGTAAAACATTAAATGTCATTGAAGTATAAAATGAAATGTATGATATAAAGTATAATATTGTGTGTATACAGTGTATGCTTTTTCAGTTTTGTTACTTTATTCTTTAAAGAACATCATATTAAATCCAACTTTCATTTGTACACTTCAGGTGGTACAGTTAATACAACTGCAGAAATGGATTCATTTATGAAGATGGCAAAAACTTGAAGTCATTTTAAGAAATTCATCGAAAAACAATTGGCAGATTTGTTTTGACTTGGTGAAAATCTGAAATAGGAGGAGTCATAGCATTTTTACTTCATTAGGCTACCTTTGACAGGTTGCTATGCCAGTGCAGCAGATAGCTGTTGTATCACCGTGTAATAATAGTATGGATAACTCAGGGATCCGAGCAGCAGAGAATGGGATGGAAAATGGAGGGAATGTTATAACTGGTGGGAATCAGGATACTGGTTTGAATGTCACAGATTGTGATCAAAATTTAGCCTTAAACTGTGATACAGATATTGTGAATGATATTGCGCTTAGTGACGCAGCTGTAGGTGCCAGTGTTAATGCACACATTGTAGCTGATACTGTGATAATAGGAGATATGAACTCGGACAGTTTATCTGACGATACCGGCAAACAGTCGGACAGCGGAACTGACTGTCATGTACATGTTCAGGTTGTAAGACCAAGAACCGACACACCAAGTAATGGAAATTCAGACATATCAAATAGTGGAAATGTAACAAACACAGAGAAAAGGTCACAGACTCGAAACACAAGCAAGTCGAGTAAAAAAGAAAAACCTACGCCTCTCAAGAAAAAGGACAGTGGTACCCAGGTATGAATTTAAAATTGTTATCAACTGAAATATTTAGATGCACTAGTCCAGCATCCATTATTGGAACTGTCTGTTACTAGTGTAGTCTGGCATGGCCGTGTACTAGTGGCAAAGACCAAATACTTTTGGCTCGAGCAGCATTTATGTTTAAACATTAAATAGTACAAATAAGGTATAAATCACTGTCAAATATTTCAAGTGTTTTTATCAATTTTATTCTTACCAGTTTATTGGCAATAGTTTTTGAAATATATCGGGCTAGTTTATTTCACCAGGATTTTTTATAAAGCAAAGTGAGGTCACCATATTTTTATGAAATTTAACAAGTGCCATGTTAAATTTTGTAACTATGACAAACATAAATTATTATACCTTTCATTTCATACTATAATATATAACCTCTTTAGTTCCTATGATCCTTGTTGTAGTTAATCTAAAGGATTACATTTATTCAAAACTTTCGAGGTATAAAAATAACAATTTAGTCACTCATTTAAGATATTTTTTCTCTTCTACATCCATGAACATGACCTGAACTGTGGAAAGCGTTTAAAGCAAGGGTAAAATGTGTGCGCTTAAAATTGGTCACTATTTTTGGAAAAAAAAAGTTTTTCAAGATTTCCGGACCTATGATATTGTATACAGTAATGATTAATAAACAGTACAAGTGTTCAGCAAAGATCAAGAAAATCAATGGTTGAACACTTTCATATTGACATCTTATATTATTAATTATTACATGACGTCAGTTGTAACGTTTAATATTTTAATCAATATTAGTTGGTAATTATGAGATTTTTTCTGTCAACAGAATTATAGAAAAGCAAACAATGAATGCTAGTTTAATCACAGCACCACACATAAATTTACAGTCAGGAGTATTTAAGTTTCACTTATATATCCTTCCTTATAAGGCAGAGGCAAATTTGAAATAATTGATTTTGAACAATAGTTTTATGCTCCCCAAAAAATTTCGAGGGAGCATATAGTCGTCGGGTTGTCCGTCCGTCCGTACGTACGTACGACCCGAATTCGTGTCCGGCCCATAACTTTGTTATTTGAAGTCAGATTTTAAAACTATTTCATAGAAATGATCACCATATTGAGACGACATGTCGCGCGCAACATTTGGCTCGCTACCTTGAAGGTCAAGGTCACAGCATGACCTTGCAGCAAAATCGTGTCCAGTCCATAACTTCATTATTTGAAGTCGGATTTTAAAAATATTTCACAGAAATGATCACCATATTAAGACGACGTGTCGCGCGCAACATTTGGGTCGCTACCTTGAAGGTCAAGGTCATAGCATGACCTTGCAGCAAAAACGTGTCCGGCCCATAACTTTGTTATTTGAAATCGGATTTTAAAACTTTTTCACAGAAATGATCACCATATTGAGACGACGTGTCGCGCGCAACATTTGGCTCTCTACCTTGAAGGTCAAGGTCACAGCATGACCTTGCAGCAAAATCGTGTCTGGTCCATAACTTATTATTTGAAGTCGGATTTTAAGAATATTTCGGAGAAATGATCATCATATTGAGATGACGTGTCATGCACAACATTTGGGTTGCTACCTTGAAGGTCAAGGTCACAGCATGACCTTGCAGCAAAATCGTGTCCGACCCATAACTTCGTTATTTGATGTCAGCTTTTAAAACTATTTCACAGAAATGATCACCATATTGAGATGACGTGTCACGCGCAACATTTGGGTTGCTACCTTGAAGGTCAAGGTCACAGCATAATCTTGCAGCAAAATCGTGTCTGGCACATAACTTCATTATTTGAAGTCGTATTTTACAACTATTTCACAGAAATAATCACCATAATGAGACAATGTGTCGCGCGCAACATTTGGGTCGCTACCTTGAAGGTTAAGGTCACGGCATAACATTGCAGCAAAATCATGTCCGGCCCATAACTTTGTTACTTAAAGTCGGATTAAACAACTATTTCACAGAGATGATCACCATATTAAATCGACGTGTTGCATGCAGATTTGGGTTGCTACCTTGAAGGTCTAGGTCACAGCATGACCTTGCAGCAAAATCATGTCCGGCCCGTAACTTCGTTATTTGAAGTTGGATTTTACAACTATTTCACAAAAATGATCATCATATTGAGACAATGTGTCGTGCACAACATTTGGGTTATTTTTACACTTTGAACTTTGTCTGTGACATAACTCTGACACTACAAGAGGTATACCTTCCTGTGTCCAAAACCTATTCGGGGAGCATCACCCGGTTCAACCGGCTCTTGTTTTGTCAAGTCAGAATGACATCAAGTTCTGTTGCTTATCTGTAATTGTTTTCTTTCACAAATCATCATTTGTACAATTTAAAACAATAAATTTGCTCTTCATCCTGAATACATTTTTTTTCCTGGGTTATGTATTGCCCCACCTCAGCAGAGCACTTGATTAACTTGTCAAAAGTTTAATTATTTATTCACAGTTATATAGGGTTATACAGTATAACAGATAACAGACTTTGGAAATGTTCAAAAATAGTATACCGGTAGCAGTGTTTATTCTAGGATTCGAAAAACAGGGGGGATTTTTATTAAAAAGTGAGAAGTTATTACATTTGTTGATCTTTTTCCTTCTTTGTCTATGTAAAATTTCCACCTCCCTCTCAATAAATAGGGGTGAATTCTCAAAAATATGGGTGAATCCCACAATCGCCCCTCCTAGAATAGACACTGCGGTAGGATTTGTTCTTCAATAACCACCACGATGTTTGCCAATTCTATTAATTCAGTAAAGAGCATTAGAATTTTATTTTTTAGAAGCTCATATTTGTATAAAAACAAATGGTATGTGTATTTCTAAAAAGACATGTCAAAAATAAAAAGACATGTCAAAAATAAAAAAAACTTGTAAGAAGACATGTCAAAAAGAATTTATATGATAGGCCAATTGTCTCTTCCACAACTAATCTGAGTTTAATATATATATGAAACTGTCCACTGTCAAGTTACAGTTTTACAGTTTAGTTCCTTCAAAAATTATACTAATGTTTTCTTTTTTAAGCAGTTTGTTTTTTATATCTGTCTGTTTACATCTTAGGCATGGATGGTTTATTTTACATAATTATTTAAAGATTTAAAGTTTCAAATTCATACCAATGGTTTGTATGTGAGAGGAACACATTTTTTTTAATCTGCAGTCTTAAATTGCGAACATTGTCTGTGTGGGTGTGCTGTTGGTCAAACAATATTATTATTTTGTGGTATTTTGTTAAGTAGGCTGCAGTAGATATTTATATTGTTGAGGCTTCATACCAAATTAGATATCAAATCATGCCTGATAATTGACAAGTAATGCTCTTGTTATATTGAGTTTTCAGTATAATTTATTAGGTGTGAGTGTGTGGGTTGGGGTTGTCAGTGACCTTTGAATCCTAGTGCTTTCAGTGCAAGAATACTGTTCATTGTATTTGTTAAGATTTGAGGAGAACTATTTTCTAGTTTATAATGTAACTCAATTTATCAGTAACCTAATATTTTTTTTTTTCTGATGTAATAGATTCTTCTTATGAAAGCTGTTTTTGAATTTTTATGGTTTGAATAAAGGGAAAAAAAGAAATTGGATTAGCAAGGATAGTGTTTTTTTTTATATCAATAGAATGTATATATTGCTTGTATTTTTTAGGTTTTCAAGCCACCTAATTTATGATCTAAGTCGAGCTTATTGACAACTGATACTACTAATTAATTAAGATTTGTATTTTTAAGAGTGTTAACATGTCTATTTAAAAAAATCATTTTCAAGAAACTTCCTTGCCAGAAGGAAGCAAAAGTTGTTCAGTTAGAAACAGTTAAAACCATTTAGATTGACTGATATTAGTCTTTTTGCTTAACTTATTTCAACCTCACTCCTTTGGAATCTGATTTTGCATGTCAGACTGGTGTGATGGTAAAGCATGATATTTTAATTTTCAAAATCAAGAAAGTAGAACTGTCATAATGCATTTTATATACAATAAATGCCTATTGTTGTTTCATTCCTTATAGCCACAATAACTTACATAATTTCACACCTTTATAATAAAATTCCAAAATATACAATGGTCTTATTAATTTTACTTTGTTTAGATTGCAAGTCTAAAAAAATCATATCAAGTCATTATTTTTCTCCATTTAGCCTTATTTGAATTTTTCAAAGTGTTTATATAGCATAGTGTAAGGGCTAAGAGCTTCCTTTAATTAGCGCCATTGCATGATATCAAAAGTATATCAATATTGTATGTTAAATATTAACAATATATCAAGTTATCAATAGATAGGGATTGACAGTCAGTAGAAATTGAGCTTGACTAGGTCATATTGCCTTAAACAAACTACACCATAAAGCATGGTCCTAAAATTAATTTAACTGACCAATTGTTAATGGCTTTACTCTTGATATAGGGTACTAGCCGACCAATCCAAAACAATATTACCTATTACAATCATCATGTGGAAATTACAGATTTATTTTAAAATACAACTATGAAATAAAAAGACAGGTATAAGTGCCAAAAACAGGAAGTGAACGTCTGCCTTCTGTAGTGCTTGAATTAAGTCTTTGAAAATGATGACGGCTCTAGTTAGTTAGGTAGATACCTACATAAGAACAGCATATAAAGAAGTTTCTCATAGACATTCATTTCCTGAATTAGTGGGCTATAAATAATAAATAATGCAATATCTGTCAGGTTTTCCACAGATTTGATTCCTCAAGGTTTTTGTTAATACTATATTACTAGTAACTATGGCATTCAGTATAGTCACATGATTAAATTTGAGAAGATCTTTTGAAATATTGATCATAATCAGAAATGAACTGCTCCATATGTTCAATATTATACTAGAACTTAACTTCTTTATGTATAATTTGTCTGAGGGTTTTGTTTGACTTTGAGACAAATGTGGTGCTACTGTCTGTGTAACACTTAGGGAAAGAATTTTATGTTGACTATTGACAAAAGTTGTTATTACATGTATTTACTTTCAGGAGACTTTGCATCCCAATTCCCCGACACCAATATCTGCCGAGCGCTGTGACTCATCCATGTCAAACGTGGATGTTTGTCGGATATGTCAATGTGATAGTTGTGAAATCCAGAAAGAGTCGCCTCTCGTGGCCCCATGTTTGTGCGCCGGGAGTCTCAAGTTCATACATCAAGCTTGTCTACAAAAATGGATCAAAAGTTCAGACAAGATGTCATGTGAACTTTGTCAGTTTGAGTACCAAATGACGAAGAAAACAAAACCATTCCGTGAGGTAATAAAATCTAAAAAGCTTAAATGAATCTTAAAATACTAACTTGTAGGCTAAAACACCTGCTAATTCTTGAAATTTGACCACATTTAGTCCTTTTGACTGGGAAGTTTTAGTCTTTGTGTAGTATGATGAGGACAAGTACAATTTACAAATGAACATGTAGTAGAATGAGGGTTAGTATCTTACTCTGGATATACTGAATAGCTAGCGTAGCAGGCAACATTAATATTCAAGATCTTTAACTGTGGTATAGATTTTGAATGAAATTATGGTTCTTTTTTTATTAAAGTCATTCATTTTTCTACCTCCCATAGTTATTTTCATTATTTATAATCACACTGAAAAGTACATTTTTGTAAATCATTCTTTTTACCATTTTGAAATAATAATTATATAAATATTTAGTCAATTTAAATGGTTTTTAAAACATCCAAACTGCCTCAGCCTGTCAATCTGCTCAGGTAATAATTAAGGCATGATTTCTTTCTCTAAACTTTGTACATATTATCAGTATATCAAGTGTGCACAAAAACAAATAAAGGCAAAGTTTGTATAATTATTATTATTATTCTATAAATGTTTCACAAATATGAGGCATAGTGATAATGACAATTGACATGTTTAGTTGAAGTGATATGGAACTTAATTGCTTTAATGGAAGTCATTGAGGAATAATAAAGATTGAAATCAGCATGTCTATTGTCATGTGACTAAAACTATTGATTTTTTCCTGTATTCATAAAAGCCTAAAAATGCCTCTTTTACAGGAAGTATCTCACTTTTGATGTTATATTATAATTATATATTTCAATTTCTGATGCTTCAATTTTTTTTGTATGTATTATATTATATCTTTCTATTCTTTGCCAAAAGAAAACTTTATGTTGTAAATCATTCCAAAACATCAATAACACAGACTTTTCACACATTTTTGTAAGCAAATTCTGATTTAAATTTGTTAAATTAGATTATATAGAATATATTAAATTTAACAGCATGAAGAAAGAATATTTCTTGTTAAACATTAGCATCTAGTCAAGATAAGGACAATAATGGTAAGCTTATGACCTTTGTTTTATGATGAGAGATGGACCAGGATTGCTCAAATGTCCGGTTTTAACCAGACTTAATACCTATACATGCCTGATAAAAGCATTTTGGATTCATTTTACTAATTGAGCTACTGTTTGAAAATTCTATCACAAGTCTGTGATCGTTTCAAAATATATGTTCCTTCATCTTTCATGTTAGTTAGGGATAGGCTTATAATCATCATTGTCATAAATAAACTGTGAAACCTTTAATAATTGGAATCATTGACAGGAGTGCTGTGCTGTAGAAAATATGAGAAATTATAATAGCAGCCGTGAATAGTTACATATAAGTCATATTAGAAGTTATAAATGATACATTGTTATTGTACAATTGTATATATGTTTAATACTATAGTTAGCATGTGCATGACAGGCGTGGATAATAAATTACCATAGCCTATAAACATCACAAACTATGACATCTGTACCTTGATTAATACTTTAACAAGACTTATATGGATATCCCAGTTGTTACTTGTTCTGCCTGCCTTATTCCTGATTTTTTCCAGAATACTGAAAATGAGATTTTTAATAAATTAGTTTTAATGTCAACTTGGCTTGACCTAGAGGTCAGTATGAGTGTTAATATTAATCTGATGTCTGTTGTACTGGACTCCAGGGTCATTCCTTGTAAAGTTGAAAATATATAACAATACTCCTTCATCATGTCTATGCTTAAAAAGTTCATTGTCATATTTTAAAGGCAAAATTATGTAACCAGACCTAAAAATTGTTACACATCTAAAATTCATGCCACATTTCCTGTAGCGATCTTGTTTTAATGGTGTGATACATTATTCCACTCATAAAACTACTAGTTCTTTTTTTCCTTTTATCCCTATATAAATGCTGTTAAAACATGTTTGGGCTATTTGTTTAACAGTTTTATGTCAAATACAAATGATGTCAAATTCAATTGATGAAAAAAAAGCATTATTCTCAATATATTTATATTGAAAATAACATATTGGCCTTGTTTAACAAACATATTTATGAAGTTTTTTGTAGCAAAATATTAGTACATGTATAAAGGAAATCACTCTTTCACAAAAAAAATAGAATAAACTGATACAAAGGTACATACAAATTTATTATGTTGGATTACAAACTAACAAATTTTCATGCGTCCCGCCGGACACAGTGTTTCTTTAATGATTTTTATACATCTCTGATGCAGATGGCTAGATTAATCACTTCTCTAAAGCATTAAGTTAACCAATGGCTTTAAAGTTTGCAAACCCAACCAGACACTCTTTGAATGTAAGATCTATGCTACCAAAAACTCACCACAGCATATCTATAATATGTAAGATCTATATGCTACCAAAAACTCACCACAGCATATGTAACTATATATTTTTGAATGTTTTGAGTTTTAGAAGTGCCTGCATCGGGATAACAAATCTCTGAAATGTTCAATGAACTATTCAAATTCAAAGCACTTTACATAAAATCATGAGAGGTTTAATCGGTTAATATAGAAGGTCAGGCACATGTCAATGACATTTGAACCGCGTCACCACAAAACCAACATAGTGCGTTTGCGACCAGCATGGATCCAGACCAGCCTGCGCATCCGCGCAGTCTGATCAGGATCCATGCTGTTCGCTATCAGTTTCTCTATTTGCTATAGGGTTTGTAAGCGAACAGCATGGATCCTGATCAGACTGCGCGGATGTGCAGGCTGGTCTGGATCCATGCTGGTCGCAAACCCATTATGTTGGTTTTGTCGTGACGCGGCTCATTTATCTTGTCAACATGATTATCATAATAGCAATGTTAATAACAACAAAAGTTAATTAATTAATGAGATCAAATGGTCTATATACATTGATTTGTATTGGTAATTTCCAATAATATTTATACTCCTGGTTTGATGTGTAAGGTAGTTGGTCATTTATAACTTTAGTTAGGTGTTTGTATTATTACAAAACACATAAAGTGTGATGATCATAAAAATATATTATGTTTGTATTTGCAAACATTGCCATTTGATACATTACTCATATAAAAGATAAGACCCTTTTAGGTCAAAACAAGATCTTGAGAAAAAAAATTTTTGGAGAAATTACATGTGAAACTAAGTAAAAAAATAAACAGTGTTACTACGACACTGTTACTATAACATCAAATTTTCTTATTTGGTTATATAGAATTTAACAATTTTTGGTGAATTTCTTGCTATAATGCAACAAATGATTCCAATTTGAGCAACTTTCACATCATTAGGGATCTTAAATATTTTTGAATTTTTATCTTTCCATTGGTCATTTGGTGAAAACAAAAAAGATACAAACACTGGACATCTTGCTCTTGATATGGTTGAACAGAAGCCTTTTTCAGAAAAAATGATTTGTCGGGGGGAAATAGGTTTTTGTGTGCATTTTGTCATACATTGTTCAGTAAATGATTTAAAGCACATGTAATTAGCAAGATTGTGAAAGGACAGGTGGTCATCAGAGGTCTGTTTTCCTGTAACCTTGTAAACATGTCACTCTTCTGTTCATTATATATACAACATGTAAATCAATTATCCTATAACATAAAGGGTATTTAGCTGATTTGTACTATTACTTTGTATATTATATTGATTATTTTCTATATATATAGGTAATTAAGACCTGTACTGAATTATTAACTGTTTTAAGTGCAAATTGGTAAGTGTGATATTGATGTTTTCCTTAGTTAATGCCTCCCATCTAATGGGTTAATCTCCTTTTCTAAATTTTTTAAAACGTCTAAAAGCTAGTTTAAGTAATTGACTAGAACTTTGAATAAATGGGTTTAATGTAGAGTTTGCCACATAAATGTAGCTTCTTGTAAAATTATGTAGAGTCCATAGTTTGACTATGCTCAGAGACTTTATGGGTCAGTAGCTCTGTATATAGTAGGAGGAATGTCTGTAAGCCTTGTAAGACTTTTCTAAAGACGACTTTTCTAAAGACAATACATTATTTCTAGGCGTCTGTCTGTGCACATTAATAAAACAGGATTTCTATCGTCTTATAAAATGAGAATTTGTCTCATATGATTAAGAATTCTTTCCATGTGATAAGTTATAATTAAAGAAAGAAAAAAGGAACAGTCACATGCTAGTGACATACTGTTATAAAATCATGTCAAGAGCTTTGTCTTATGACATTCATGCCGCGTCACGACAAAACCAACATAATGGGTTTGCGACCAGCATGGATCCAGACCAGCCTGCGCATGATTGTGTAATAAAGCAGGAAGATAAAATTGTTTCACAGAATATTTATTACAGTCAAATGCACAGAATGATGTAACATAATCTAAAACTGCAGTAACTTTTTGTTTACATCAAGGGAAAATTGTAGCTATAAAAGTATCTTATTATATATATTTGAATAATAAGAAGATATTTGATAGTGGTATTGTATTTTGCACATGATGAAACTTTAAACGAGTCCTTTTGTTTGTAGATTTAAGTGTTTTGTCATGTTTTCCCCTATATTTAGTTCTGTCTAAAGGAGATCAGTTTAAAATCATCATGAAACCGAGATAAAAGATGAGCTGTCAAGACAATGTGATAATATAATATCAAATTTTGTTTTTTAAAATGAAACAAGTTACTAGAGTTATCAGCTAGAAGCTTCTAATCTTGACATCACAGTATCGGTAATAGTTTTTATTTGTTTGGGTCGTCAGACCAAACAAATAATGGTAGCGAAATTTCAGAGTCTAATGTTGTTAATTGCAAATGCCGAAAGTAGTCCACTTTTTTTGAAGCGGTTACTTCCCTTTTGTATGTACACTAATGCCGAAAAATTCAGGGGAGATCACTGCGTAAAGATGGTCAAAGACAGGCGCATCAATTTTCAAGCAAAGTAATTCCCGAATGGTCGAAGATTTCTAATATTGTTTTATTGTATTTTCTGATCGAAAATAACTAAATACAAAGCGGACATTCAATCTCTGACACAGAAGTTTACGACAAACCTAACAACAAGTAGTTCTCAAAACAGCTTAAAACTAGTGATTTAAAAGAAAGAAATATTTTATTTTGTTACAAGTATCCAACAAATTACAACGCATTTAAAGTTAAACAATAGCGTTGGCTTATAGAATTGTCAATAAATGCGCAATCACAAATTACGCGGATGAATATGATTTTATCAATGAAAATACTATATTACCGAATACTACACAAACCGAGTAGTGGAATATATAGATTCTACATGTCGGACTGTTTCGGCGAGAGGATTTTCGCTAAAATATTTACTTCAATTTTAAACAACAGGTTTACCCTGAACAAAATACCTCGAAATTAATAAGGATTACAAACCGGAAATGCAATGGAAGTTCTAAATTTAGAATGACTTGATATTATTCAGACTTTCTATGTATAAAACTCGTGGTACAGTGGTAACGCGCTCGCTTAGTGAGTGAGAGGTCTCGAGTTCGAATCCCAGTCGAGAAAACTTTTTTTTGTTAAATTCTTTTTTAAGTGTTTTTGTTAAGGAAGTAGCCATGATATGCAAGGATAAAGTGTGACTGTCGTAAAAAATGAACATAAATGATTTTTTGATGCAACTCTAGTTATGCAGAATTCCGTATGTATTAAACTCTGGTGCCTTGCAAAATGAATTATAATACATAAAAATAAACCTATACAGGAAAATGCATACAGATATACAGTACGATTTAGATTGCAAAGATCAGAAAATACCACAGAACTTGCAGCCCTTTGATTCTTTATAAATATAAATGCTTATAGTAAGCTCCAGGATTATTTACATCTGTGTTAAACAACAGTTAAAGTCGTTACAAGCCCTAATTTAGAATAATATGGTTTTCTTCAGCCCGTTCACATATAAATTCACCGTGGCTGAAGGGTTTTCGGGCTCGCTTAGGAAGCGAGAGGTCTGGAGTTCAAATCCCAGTAAAGGTTACTCATTTTTAGCTCGACTTTTCTATGAAAAGGGGAGCTATCCTACTCGCCCCGGCGTCGGCGTCACACCTTGGTTAAGTTTTTCGTACCACCCCACTTTATTTCAGAAGTATTACAAGTATGGCTTTGAAACTTACCATACTTGTTCACCATCATAACCTCCATCTACAGACAAGAGTACATAACTCTGTCAAGGTTTTTGACAGAATTATGGCCCTTTTTTGACTTAGAAAGTGTATTGAGCTTGGTTAAGTTTTTTGTACCACCTCACTTTATTTCAAAACCATTGGAGGTATTGCTTTGAAACTGACCATACTTGTTTACCATCACGACCTTCATCAACAGACAAGAGGACATAACTCTGTCAAGGTTTTTGACAGAATTATGCCCCTTTTTGACTTAGAAAATACATTGAATATGGGTAAAATCCACTTATTGCCTTAACCCTTTGAGATATTGCTTTGAAACTTTTAATGCTATTTCACATCATTACCCCCATCTGTACGCAAGAGAAGGTAACTCTGTCAAGGATTTGTTTTAAAAATTAAGGCCTTTTATCGACTTAGAATCTTGGTTAAGTTTTTAGTACCAGTCCACTTTTTGACTGAACTGTTTGAGATATTAATTTGAAAGTTGGAATACTTGTTTACAATCATGATTCCCAAACATGTCCAGGAGAAGGTAATTCTGTCAAAGATTTTATTTGAATTATGGCCCTTAACTGTCAATGTTTTGTATTATAGGCAAGCACTAAAAAACTTAAAAAATCTAAAAAAATTCATTCCTATCCACTTGTTCACTTTACCATAAATTATGTCATATAAACATTGCTGTAATATTCAAGGGTATCAAACAACTAGTTATTTTTCTCTTTTTGTACTTGAAATTAAAATCAGTAGTATATGCATATTTCACATTTTATCTTCCTTGGCATAGATTTCTTGAAAAATTATGTTATTATGTCATTTACCAAGGTGTTCTGAGTGACGTAAAAATACCTTATTCTCTCAAAGTGGGTTTAATACTATTAAATTTATTTAAGGCTCAACTCAGTTTTTTTTTCTTTCTTACCAGCCCTCTTTTGACTTAAACATTTCAAACTTTGCTGCAGTGTTCAAGGGTATCACACAATTCAGTAAAATAATTCTTCACTAAATATCTTAATGCTCATGGCCATTGTTCACTTTAAAAATACAGAGATTCTTGTATTGCCTTTTACTGCAAAAACTTTTTTTATTGGCAAGCAATAAAAAAGTCGAGCGCGCTGTCTTACGGACAGCTCTTGTTTTTCAAATTGTTAAAGTCAAATAAACATTGGATTGAATATCAGTGTTGCAATTAGTCTTATAGCCAGTTTACTACAATTAAAACGCTGGAAAGCATTGGTGGCACTATACATATAATCTCACAACCTGCACCTTTCTTACATTCTGAGACCCAAACAAATTCAGCGCCTTCTGTGCTTTGATTTTTAAAGGATTTACATGCAACTTCATTTCTCACTATTCTTATGAAACTTGACATCCCTCTAGGGACATAATTGAATGTCAGTATCCAATACCAATAACTCTTACATAGGAGTTTTAGAGAGTTTTAAGTTTCTTTTTATGGTGACTGATTCTCTTTTTTTGGGGTGGGGGGGATTAAAAAATGCTCCAAAAATAGTTTGCAACTAAAATTTATTTCTTCTGTATCTATACTGTTTTATTACTCAGAATCTTTCCCCTTTTTCTACTGGCCTTGAATATTATCTGTATTCTAAAACTTGCATTACCAGTGAATTTTCTATGTGGATGAATACATGATAGATCAAGGCCATGTTGTCATTACTCCTTAGTAATAAAGAATAAATACCCATAATGAAGAATCCTCAATTACAATACAGTGATTTGATAACAGATACAGTAAAAACTCTGAAAACCGGACCCTCTGAAAACCGGAATCCTCTGAAAACCGGACCATTTTAAAAGTCCTGTAAATTCTCCTTATATGTTCATTGAAAAAAATCCTCTGAATACCGGAACCTCTGAATTCCGAAAACCGGACGATTTTCTATGGTTTCTAAGCTCTTCCATCATAATTGTTTCTTTCCCTGTATAGGCATGGTTTTTCAAAATGTTGTAAATTTATTGTTTGATTTTATTTTTTAATATAAAATGTCTAGCAGAATTGAGAAACTTTTGTTAAATGATTCCTGTTTTGCTTAAAATTTTGACCTTAATTAGACTCTATATATGCAAAATATTAATACTAAATTCCATATTTCAAAAGCCAAAAAGATATCTTTCAGACAATATGTTATTTTAATTTCTGATTTTCTGAACTATATACATTGAACATGGATTTGCATAATAAAATTACTTAAGACATTTATTGCAAAAAGAAATTAAAATATGACTAAGAAAAAAGTGTTGAAAAGTAAATACAAAATGATTGAACAAAGTCATTGTTCAAACACATAATAATAATCAATATAAATGTATAAAACCTCTGAAAACCGGAATCCTCTAAAAACCGGACTTTTGGTCAAGTCCGGACAGGGTCCGGTTTTCAGAGTTTTTACTGTATTAACAATTATAACTACTGATATTCAACAGTTTTCAAGGGCACTTTTTGTAATAAGTCGTAAAGGGTATAAAATGTTTATGAATGTATGAAACATTTTTATAAAATTGATTAACAGTAGAATTATTTGATTTCCGTTATTTTAATGGTTTTTGTAACATAGAATGTTTCTGTTATTGTACATACACAGAATGAAATGTTACAAAACAATTATATTATATTGCTACTTTAAGTAGGGTTTTAACTGTTTAGCATTGATTTTGTGCATGAGCTATTCACTTCTACGGCAATATACTACCAAATTTGTTTCATACAAGCATTTTAGAAGTATCCTTCATTTTATATTTCAAACAATCATTTTTATAGCAGATTTTTAGCTTAACTACACTTTAAATCAATAGAGTAGAAAAGTCATTTACTTTGTTTTGTATATTTACAGTGGGAGCGGCTCGACATGACGCCTGCAGAGCGTCGAAAAGTTGTATGCAGCGTCACATTCCATGTGATAGCGATTACATGTGTCGTCTGGTCCCTATATGTGCTGATTGATAGAACAACCGAGGAAGTAGAGGCCGGTTCCTTGCTTTGGCCGTTTTGGACTAAGTTAATTGTTGTGGCGATCGGATTTACTGGTGGTGTTGTGTTTATGTACGTGCAATGTAAGATGTATCTGACATTGTGTAAGAAGTGGCGTACATATAATAAAGTGATCCTTGTTAGCTCCATCTCCGAGGCGACAAGAGATAAGGCAAATCACGAGGGTATCGTTAGAATGACTGAAAAACAAGCCCAGCTTGAAGCTGAACGCCGGACAAATTTTGATGTTTTTACCATTGTTCAAGAAACAGACAACACTTTTTAAAGTGCATAAAATGTTGTTTAGCATTTCAGCATCTTTACCTTTACCCAACTACGCAAATGGTTCTAATGTTGAGGATAAATTAACTAAACAGAGTGCTATTGGGTCATCGTGACCATTTTGCAAACATTGGGCAATCATGATGACTTAATTTGTTAAATATAAAAATATATATCATATATAAGAATCCATTTAATGTTGATGATTTCTATATATTTTTTTGTTTTTTGTTGTTCTGTGATTATTTTTATAGTAAAAAAAGATGTGCATTTAATTTGTTTTTATTAGTTATTTAGTTGCTAAGTGTAAACATATTTATTTTCTTGTGATACCTTTTAAAATGCTTTGTTTTATTTTGTGATATTTTAAAAAAATAAAAAGCCTTTGCATTGTATTTTTTTTCTGGGAGAAAAATTTATCATTATTCTCAAAGCCTTTTTAGTACCGGCAAGGTTATTAATTTCATGCTTTTTCTTTGACTTACTGAATTTACTGAAATGTTAAAGTGTTAGGTGACTGTGTTAAGTCTGGTATGGTGAGAAACTAAAGAAACACCATGCTTTATTAAAAGATCTGAATCAAATAACTGTTTACTTTAATCTTCCATGATTTGTGTCTATAAAAAGAATAAAGTATATATATATATATATTAGTACTAAGATATTAGTTCAGCCCGACACTTTGACTGTTTAACCCATAACCTACTATATTTCTATAATGGATCTGTCCTGCTTTGAATTTTGGAACATTCCATTATTTAAAGTTACTAAAAATGTTCAGTAGCTCATTCATTTTGTATTTTTTGCCGTTATTCATTAAATTTATTTAGATATTTTTGGCATAATTTATTCCAGGTTGCCCCCTTATAAGAAACTAAATTTTAAGATACATAAAAGGCTTTGAATATGTATGTATATAGAGAGATTTTTATACATCTGCATCAACCAGACATGTTTAGATAAGTCGTTCACATTTTTATATCACTATGGTTCACACATCATTGAAAATTTAAAGTAATTTATCATGTTTACACTCCATGAAATAGATTACATTTTGATGCAGACAAAAAAAATCACGACTTGTCATTGTTAAAAAATGCAGTATGTTATAAATTTGTTTAGATTTTTTTTCCCATACTTAAAGTACTGGTTTTGTCAGTAAGATATGATTTGTATCATTCACTCCATTTTACTGAATGTATAAATGCCGTTGTATTTCATCAATAAGCATGGAATTAAAAGAAAAGGTGCAATTTCTATTTTTGTTTATACATTAAAAAGCTAAGTTAACATGGTAATGATGGATTAAGTATAACATTATTTTACCTAAAAACTTACACAGATATTATATGTGTTTAACAAGATGGAATTTCAAATTGTATCTGTCTTACCTTTCATACAGATTCAACTTACTGTAAAAAAATAATAATTAAAAAATGTAAAAAGCAACATTAAACTAATTCCCCTTTTCTATAGTTTTACTATGAAGTGTTTCAAAAATTTACAGCATCTATACAACCCCACAATATGCCTGCCTTCACTGGCCAATAACCATCAGGTAGAGCGTTGGTCTGTGAATTAGGCAAAACTTCCAGTCTAACTTTGCTGGATAATTACCAGTTTCCCTAAAAGTTACCAACTACTATTCCACCATTAATCACTTTGTAACTATGCCTACAAGAAGTTAGGAATGAATCGCACTAATTTTAAATATTATGTTTCATACAGCATTATTATTTCACATAAATATAGTCATTAGTGATGATTTTTGTTCTGAGTTTGTGTCATATAAAACAACATATTGTTATGTCGAGGATTATTGTTATAAATTAGAACATAATGGTTATTGTAGAAAATTTATCAATTAATTGTGTCACAGCAAAAAGCTTCATTTGTTTCTTTTATTTTCTGCATCTAACACATACATTCTGCATTTTCATCGCTTGTTCTTGGTGATTAAAATTATTAGTTTCATTTTTCTTTTATCACTGTTTGTTATTGTTGACTGGTATGGTCATTAAGAAATGTACTTATATTACAGATTTTACAACACAGGGTTGTTTGTTTTTATATAAATATATATTTCATATACATGTACGTCACATAGATCTCCAAGTTATTACCTTTTTAAACCAGTAACAGACTCTTTTTATCTGATTAACTGCTGTCTTCAAATGTGAAATCAGCCAGACATAGAATTGCATACTATACATACAGTTCTATGGTTTTTCATACAAATCTTTTATTTTTAACATGAAATAAAAAAAATTCTTGTTCTCTCTGTTGGCAATGATATTAACATTTTGTAGAATCTTGTTTTATTACTTAAAAAAACAAATTATGTGTAAAATTCAATTATTTATTACATAATAATCCATTGATCTATGTCAGAGGCATACATATACCTGTAGTTTTCTAGTTATCTACATCTCTGATAATGTTGAACATTAACTCATAGTAATATATAACATATCGCATGTTTCTGTGTTTCATAAAAGAAATCATTGTCAGGACTAATGTTAAATTTCAGGTTTTTCTTTTACTGCTGTCATCCATGTATAACCCTGTTTTACTAGTTAAATCCCAAGGCCCTTATATTTCTTTCTCTCTGTTTTAGTTGATGGTAACTTGACTGGAACTTTATTTTCTACTCTACATTATATTATAAGAATAAAATAAACAACAAAGACAAAATGTCAAGACTTCCATATAATAATTGAATATGAAAAATGACATTAATTTTATTGTTGACAAAAAATGTTTTATTAAAGGTTTTCTTGATGGATGGAAAACCTTAAGTATGCAATTTCATATGGAAAAGGAAGTTTTAATAGAAATGCATGTCTTTTTTTTCCATATTTAAATTTCTAATGTCATTGAGTGAATTTAAGTGAATGGTGTAAATATGATAGAAAACTTCCTGATATCCTAACATAATGCACACACGATGTAGTATATTTGTTGACCTTATCTCATTACATGAAGTTACGACAAACATTGTATAGTTTATAACATTCATCATGTGTTTGATAAATAATACAACAGTGTTACTCATTTGGTAAACAAGACTTCCGGATAAAATTCAGATTTATTCGCTCATTCTGTTCTAAAACAATCCTTTTAATTGTGCAAATATGAACAAATTTTTAACTCGAAAAGCATTTTATGCTTCTAAGTCAAATCTGACAGAGAATGACACACAAAATCCATTTTCAATGTAATTCCGAGTATATTTTTTTATTATCTTCCATAATAAACCATACTTTCAGTTTTCAAAGTTGACGGATATGGGTTAAAAGGGATGTCATACTGCTACAGACTTTAATATCATTCTGATATTATTATATTTTTTTGTAGGCTGTATTGAAAATAAAAAAACACAACATTTTACTGGCGAAATTAAATTTTTTATTTTAAATGGTTTTTAATTATTTTACCTGTTTGGATCTGATAGTTATTACATGTTCAGCTGAGGTACACATTCTCTCTTAAAGTTTACATATCTGTTATTTGCTTAAAATTTATTTTCAGAGATACTTTCAAATATTTTCTCTTGCTCATAGTCTGTGACAGCCATGATTTATTCTTTGGTAACAATTTAATGGATTAATAAAGAGTCCTGTAACTGACCTAGATATAGATTTGATCATATTTTTCACAGAAGACTTAAAAGAATTATGTCAGTCTGTCTCTTAATTAAATTTACAAGACTGAAACACATTTTGACGGTTTCTGTAAGCTTAATTTACCACTATAGATTCAGAAATTAGGTATTTAAAAGCTATAGCACAAAAAATGTATTGGTATTGTATTATTATGGTTGGTCCTTGCCTGTTCAGTTTTTTGTAAGTACATGCATGTATACCTTGAAGGTCCCGTAACTTACTATGTACAATTTTCAGTTTAAAAAGTAAGTAGAAGACCATGTTTTCTAATATGACCAGAGAGAATGAATTAAGAAGATCTGAATTTTGTCATCATCACTTTTATCATCATCATCATTCATCATCAATCATCATCATCATGATAATTTTTATCCATTTTATCAGATGTCATTATCTCTACACAAATTGATCTGTATCTAGATAGCAGATGTTTTGTAGTACTGGCTACAACTAGTTATCTGTGAAAATATATGATGTTATAAGATGTTACAGCTTTGTAGATGCATGCAACTGTTTTTCCTTGATTTTTGCACAAAATTTGTCCGTAATATACTAATGGGGACATTAAAATCACAGGTGGAAGGCGATAATTTATGTATAAGATATTTAACATAGATGTGAAATATACTTAGTCTAATAGATTGCTTGATTTTCAGTAGATTTCTATTAGAAATTTTTGCACAGATTTCAGTTAATTAAAACACAATGTCATGTTCTTTCACATTCCAATATACCAATTATGTTGTTATTACATTTAGGGCTAATGTATCATTTATTTCATCACAATTAATTCTATGTGAAATCATCATTCTAGCTTTGAACATTTGCAAAAGCAGAAAATAAATATCATGAGGGAAAAAAGATGTGTGTTCTGTTTTAATTTAACCCTTTGAGTTGATAGTTGTGTCTTTGGTATTATATGAAGTTAGGAGTCCAGAAGCAGGAAATGAAAAACATTTAAACAAGGTGAATGTTGTATATCTGTGAAGGTATTCTTTTCATTAAAATAATACAGCCTATTTATTAAGACTAAGTTGGGTTTAAAAAGCCAAGCAAGACCATAAGGAAGAAATTGTCTTGTCCCTAAATATTCCAATACCTTTATTTGTTTTGCTGCGTATTTATCACATCAGAACTGTATGCAGGTCATATGGCAACTTTCCAGCCTTACTGGTGAAGGAAGATCTCAAGACCCTCTTCAAACATTATTTTAGGTACCAGCAGGCACTGTTATAGAACCACTAAGTAAGCTAGTTGGATAGCTCCAGCCTGTCTCATAAACAAATCTAGGATCTGTAGCGAAGCAAACAACATTGGAAGGGCAATTGATAGTCCCTAAACTTGACCACTTTGCCATTGAGCCCAAAAACAATACAAGTCATGATAGGTCAGAAACGTTCTTTGTAATTTACTGATTAAAGTTGGTAAATGGCAGTACTGTTCATATTACAATGACTGTAGAATGTTAAATGGTAATCATAGACTCTAAATAAACATCTCTAAACAAAACAAGACCAATTTGAAACCTCTAAAATAAACTGTATATTTTATTGTTAAAACTAATTTTATGAAAAACCAGATCTTATCAAAGTTGTGCCTATATTTCACAAATAAGTTAATAGATATAGGCCAAAAGCTTTTGGAATTGGATTGATGAAGTCTGCTAAGGATACCACCTTTCATAATATTTTCCCCACAAATCAACAAAGCAAAGTCTAGAGTACCTATTTAATGTTCATAACAATGGGTTACGATATTTTATTAAAGAAAAAGAAATTTAGCATAATTATGGTTTCTGTTGCTTTTGCTATAATTTCTTGGTTGTGTCAGATATGATAGACGGCTGTCTGTGCATGGCCAAGCAAAAAGAAAGATGAGCTTTCATTTTAGGAAATAACCTAGTTATTTAATTTTTTTCAACCACAGAAAACAGAAAGAAAAAAGTTTTAATTTCAAAATTATTACTGAAATTAATGAAAGTGTATGCTTTTTGACACTTTTGGTGTCACACTTGTAAAAAATGTTTCATTTTTATTTGAGAAAACATCAAATCTTGATTATTTAATTAGACAAGGACACCTAGTTTGACCTAGAGATAGGTTGATGTATGTACTTAAGTAACATTTCATGAACTCAAACCACATTGCTTATAAAGCAGTTTCTTAACAATATACATGTACATGTTTCAGGTATGTAAAAAAGTGATTTTTTTTCTCTTTTGTTCTTTTTCTCTGCAAAAAAACATGGATTGCACATAGATTTATGTTTCTGATATTTTATACTGGTAAAACTTACCATGCTAAATATCTTCACTGGACTAATATGGACTTAACCATGCATTCATCATTTGTAGAATTACATACAGTGCAGACAGCATGAATGTGCCAGCTGATCTTCAGTTGCTGCCACAAGTTTGAGAGTTAATTTATTTCTGATTTGTTTTTACATTGTATCAATTAACAATCTATATTTATTATTACCTTTAAAAAAAAAAATACCTTTACACACATCAAAACTAGTCACTGACAGGTGGTCTGCTATAGAAATAGCCTGGTGTATAAACACAGAAATGTTTGTGTAAAATTGACATCTGAGGGATTATTGGCCTAGTGGTGAAGGTGTAGGGTTCTTCAATCAGGGACAGACTTTGACTGTGAGTAACATTGGCATCATAGGATAATAATTCCTAACTGGTAAGTCCATCCATATAATTCCAAGGTGAAACATTGAAGCCATCAAATTTCTTCGCAGCTATAAATTATGTAGATAAGTTGCTGATCTCTGTACTATTGTAAGAGAATTAGGGGCTTCTTTGATTAACTGTTAACTTTAAATCACTTGCCCTTGAACACTGTGGGTTCAAATCCCATCAGGGACTTTGGATTGTTTTGTGTGTGAAAGCTTTAAAGCTAACAGAAATGGTGGTCCTATTCGGGTGCTTGCTTGTGCCTGCAATAAGGCACATGAGTGGCATGAGATCTCCCTCAACCACTAAAGCTTAATAGTCAACATATGACCTTAACTCTGTCAGTGTGACTTAATTAATACCCAACTAATAATACATACTATTTATTTGATTGTTCAAATCTGTAAAGGCCAGTCGGCTGTCAGGCACTCTTATCAGGTTGGTTTGTGAAATGCTTATTTTTATTTCATTATTTTTTTTTATGGTTTGGTTTTCATTTTTCATAGTCTTCAATTGAAATAATGTCTTCCCAGGGAAGACATCTGATTCCCGGCCTGTAACCATGATAAGGCTTGCATGAGCACCTGAGTAGAACCAGATAGACCCTCTTTATAGCTCTTGAGTAAAAGTTTGATTGAAGGAGATAGTAAATTGTCAGTCATCTTTAAAAAGAAGAAAGTCAGCAACTATACTGCCCACAATCACAGAGGCATATGTGATTATATAAGAATCTTACACCGGCTGCCGGTACAGACCAGAATATCTAGCTCGAGTGTAACTGGTTACAGCGGTAATGAGGCTCTGCCGAGTTTCCGCTAAACAGTTACCCGAGAGCTAGATATTTTCCGTCTGTACCCACAGCCAGTGTTTGATTCTTTTTCTTGCATATTAAATGCCATTTATTCTCGGAACAAAATTACGAAAACTGATATTTTCATTACGCACTTTTTTCGTTATAAATGAAGTTTGTAGGTTCATACGCTACGTATGAACCTACAAACTTCATTTATAACGAAAAAATGACATCATCCTTAGAACGCAATTCATTCATTATAGGCGTGCGGCAATGACGTCACTTAAAGCACGCCACTTGTCTTACATGAGGGTGAAAGACAGGGTTTTCTAGCACCGCCGAAACGGTAGATAATCCTGCCTGATATGCAAGAAATCATTATGTACTTTACTTTAATGATAAATGTACTTTTCCTTAATATAACATCTATTATTGTTTAAAAATACCTTTCAAATTCTGACATTTGATATAATTAATATGTAAATTTTTCATGAATAAAAAAAAGAAAATTAAAAAAAAAAAAAAAACATTATTGAAGGAATTGAAAAGTAAAAATAGGAACTTTCATATCACATGTATTTTAGCTGGATGAAGGAAGAAGTCTTCAAATATAATGATTTACTGTCAATTCTATATCCAAAAGTAAACAAAATTTAAGATAAAAGTTCAAAACACATTAATATGTTACTGAAATGCAAATAATATTAAAATGCTAGCTGTAACATTAGATAAGAATGAGCCAAGATTTTGTAGATGGTAAATTACCCTGCTAACCTTATTGATCTTATCACAGCTGGGTATGTATATATTAAATAAATATAACAAGGATCTAGTTAAAGGCCCATTATGCTTTTATTTATAGTTCTCAAAAGCTTTTCAATTTTGGTGTACTGTTATAGTATTCATTATACATCTACATGTATATCCATTTATACAGTATCTCATTGGTCAATTACCTGAACAATCTTTTTCATATGTTGCTTTTTGGCAGTAAGTACAGATATAGTGAATTAGTATTTTGTATGTGCTACTTTTATGACAAAATAAGCCTATACTTGAAGAAGATTCCCCCTGAAATGACATCTTATTGTGAACCAATGCATGGATCATCAATAATGTATCTTACATTCTTTTATTTCCTTTTTCCAGAATTTTCCAATATATGGGGATAATAAATGATTTATGGCAAATCATCTAGATAAAGATAAATAAGTTGAAACAGATCACCTATGATTTATTATGCCCTCTTCCAGTCAGTACCCTGTGTATTTCAATAATTTTTAAGGCGTATCGAGATCTTACACTTATGTAGATTTCTTTCTTTACATAACTTTGGACACTTTCAATCCATTTTTAGCTTTCTGTCTCTTTCTTAAAAGCCTGTAGAGGGGTGAAATAAACAACTGTTGACTTGCTAGGCATAAATTCCTCACATCTTTTCTTTTCTAGTTCAATTACATGCACACCTGTCTATTCTAATTAAGTACAAAAATGCCAGGTTTGACCTTCAACATTATTGTTACACTTACATCTTTGGAAGTCTGTAAACCTTCAACATTATTGTTACACTTACATCTTTAGAAGTCTGTAAAAACTGAAGATGAAATGATGACCTTACTTTGATATATATCTTCACATTTGTTAGTTGTCAAGATTAGTCTATTGCAGTTGTCTCCCTTTGATATACTTGAGAAGGGAGACAACAATGATTTGAATGTTACTTGGTTATTATTATGGTAGCTTCCCTTTTTGCAGATCCTAACCAATCATTACTAAAAAATTTGAGTTTTCCCCCTTTGTCATGAATTTCATTCTGTGCAGACTACTCTTAAAAGTTAAAACAAGGACCTCTATTTTATGATAATATAATAATTTTATAGTATGGTCAGCATTTATACTGTTTGTTGCTTTACTGCTGTGAGTCAATTTTGTTGTCAAACTGCTCTGTGTCAATACTATTGTAGAGCTCACACAGAGTGTGCCACATGATGTGATGCCTTGCCTCAGGACCCTTTTCTTTCTTAACCCATTACGTTATATACAAGCCTTTTAACGCCTTTTTCACCCCCCCCCCCCTTATGTTGTCTCAAATGGTGAAAAAATGCCTTATTTAGACCCCCAACACTTGTTTTTGTTTGAGAAATGTTGTTAAAAAAAAGTGACCTCTTTTTCGGCGCGGCCCCCCAACCAAAAGATCCATCAGGGGGTTGCCAGAAGGGGGATGTGCCCCCTTCTGTTTGGGGGGGTTTGAAGGAGGGCGGAGTCCCCCTCATCGCCAAGAAAATTTTGGACTTGTGAGAGGCTATAAATGACACCAGATTGATCATAAGGTAAGGTGTAACTAACGCTGAAAAGCATTTGACTCTATCTCAATCCATTTAGAA